CAGGTTAAATAGTTACAAAGACCCTATGAGGTTATTACTATTATCTTATTTTCAAACGAGAAAACGAAGGATAGCAGGTTAATTAAATTGCCCAAGACACAGAGCAAGGAAAGAGATGAATCACTATTCAACTCCATCTGCCTTGCTCTACCGCCTCTTGATGTGACTTCATACTAAACATTTCTTCACTCCCTCATTCATCAAAAAGTTACATTGCTTACTTACTCTACCCTAAGGATTGTGTTTGGCATTGTGGAAATCTTAAGCTATAACTGCCTTCCTTGAGAAGCTCTCACACTGGTTGGGAATGAACACAAATAAACACATGGTTATCTACTCACCTATGGGTAGGTGCCAATTACTGATCACTTATGTGTCAGGCACTTTGGTAAGTGTTTTACATTGATTACCTGTCCTGTGTCAATTCTCACAGCAACTCAAAAGAACCAGGCCTTTTACCGTTTTAGTTTTATAGATTAAAAAAAACCTGAGGCTTAGAAGGATTAAATAGTGGCTTTTAATTGCTTTATTACACTGATTCCAGTGCTTTATATTCTTTAAGAGTTCAGTTAGAACAGTATGAGGAAACAGAAGGAAAAGCTTCCAGCCTGCAGGGAGAGGAGCAAGCATCATTTTGACTGGTGTCTTGAAAAATAAACAGTAGTTCTTCTGTTTAAGAGGCAGAAGGACATAACAGAGAGAAGGAAAAGTGTATGCAAAGTCAGGAGGACAAGAAATAGCCTAGAATATTCAGATAACAGAAGTAATTCAATATGAATGGAGAACAGCAGTAGTAAAAGTGGGGAGTAAGAGACTTATATGATGGGTTGGCACCAAACTAAGAAGTTCTTTATGTGTCATACTAAGAAGTTTGCACATATTCTGTAGGAAATGAGGTGCCAACCAAGGATTTTAAGAATCTGAGTGAGGAGGTCAGATATACATTGTTATGGAACATGACTAGCAGCACTGTGGAGGCTCCACTGGAAGAAGTCTCTATAGGAAGATGGTCCAAAAAATTGTCAGCTACAAAAGAGAGGTAGGATGAAACTTCATAAACAAAGCCTTAGAAGGTATAAAGAACTTCTTGAAATAGTACAATATTTGGTCCTTTTATTCTGTCTGAGGTAAAGTCTGTTTGCAGAGCCTTGTCCTAGGGCTAGGGAGATGTGGGCCCTGGACTACTGAACAGCATCTCACATAAAAGATAAAGAGGCCAGTTGCTCGTCTTTGGAAAACAAATGAAATTACTCATTTCAGTCTTCAGAAGAAATGTGAATGCAAAATATTACATCATGTTTTTAATTAGTTGTTTTCTGTATTAGCAAACTGAGGCTTTTATTTGCCAAAGATATTTCTTTATAATTTTCATAAATTTTTAAACTAAAAACTTAAAATACACCTATTTTAAGAAGCACAACTGCTAAAAAATGAGTGACTATTACTCAAGTTAACTTGACTTTCACTGATTTGATATAGAACAAATGAAGGGTAGATAAGATGCGACGTCTTACCCAACATGGTTGAAAAAATAAGTCAGTTCAGCTAAGATTCTCCAATGTTGAGAGTTACAGTAAACAAGAAACACTCCAAAAGTTCAAGGACAACAGCAGTATTCAAGAAAATGTTCATTAAATATTTACCTTAGTAACAATCCTGTAAGTAATGAAAGTTTCAATTGTAGTAACATGGCTTTCAGGTTCATCAACAGTAATGAAGAGATCCTTCAAATCTGGTTCATCTTCAAACTTGACTTGGTTTATCATTGATAAAGGGGACGTTGGCATCATAGGGCTGAAGGAATTCATATCCATCAAAGAGGCATCCTAAGAAAAAAACATTCCAAAATTTTAATACATATAGAAAAATAGTTAAAATCCTTTTTCTGAAACACCACAAATATTAATAAAATATGTCAAGAACAAAAAGCATAATTGAACTCCAAGTTAAATATGGTATGTTGAACTCTTAAAGTCCCACTTTAAAAATTACAGTAAAGAAACAAACAAATAAAAACAAAGCAAGACAAAAAGGCATAAACCCTCAAGGTGAAAAGAAGAGACTAAACAAGATTTGCTTTTTTGGAAACTGGAACTGATTGTCGAGTGGCAACTGAAATAACAGTGCAGAGAAAGCTGAAACATAAACCTAGGAGAGAACGGTAAATTAGGGGACAGAAGACACATTTATGACAATGCCAGAGAGAATCAAGAATTCAAGGCACCAGAAACCGCAGACATAGAGTGCTGGTGGAGCTAACACTGGAGGATTGGTTGAAAAGCTAATAAAGCAAAAGAAGTTAGTGCCTCAGATTCCCTCATTTATCCACGCAATCAGGTGACTTTTCCTCCTCAATTTTGCAAAAACTACAAGTTTACTTTCTGGAATGTCAGTATAGAGGGAGAGAGAGAGGCCCTACGAAAATACAGATATCAAGGGAAAGTCCTGTCTCCTAGGGCAAGATATCCAGCCCTTTCCCATCACTGGGCCACAAGAATGTTGGCAACAAGGTGGTAGAGGCTTCCTCTCTTAGCCTGGCGATTCCAAGAGAAAACTGGCAGTGTAGTCCCCTGATGTTAGCCAGGTCTCTGCACAACCACCCTACGGGGATGCCCCACCATGCATGCTGAAGGTCTACTCAACTTTTTATTACCTGCCGTAGGAACTACTACACATTTAAACATGTGGAGTGCCTCTGATGTGAAAGATTCACAAACAAAATACAGGAAGCAGACAGAATAGAGAACGGGATGCTTAAAAAATAGATGAACTCATCAGAGATGAGACTGACATCAAATTCATGAATGAAAACAGGTGATATATATATATATATATAAAGAATGTTAAGAATTACGACAAAAAGTTGTTAAGAATGACAACAAAACCAGTTAAAAAGGAGGCTCATGAAAATTGAAATATGACAGCAGGATAAAAACTCAACAGAAAGTTTAAAAGACAGAATCCAAGAACTAAGCTGAAGCAAAAGAATAAGAGATGGAAAAGGAGAAAGCATTTTTAAAAATTAAGGATCCAGGCAGACAGTGCCTGAATAAAAGGAATTCCAGAAAACGAAGAAGGTGAATGTCCTTTGAACTGAAGTATTTCCAGATTGCTAGGGCCTTTCAGGCCTCCTCAAAATGAATGGGTCAGTGGTGGGTGGATAGTACTCCTACAAGCGTCTGTCACTCTGATCTTTCATAATAGTAGAGATTTAAAAATTCCTAAAGCTTCCAGAGAGAAAATAACCTGATAAAATACAACAGCAATCTCAGGAATCAGAATAGCTTCAGATTTCTCAATAGGAACTAAATAATAACAAAACAGTACCTTCAAATTTTTGAGAGGAAAATATTTTCTACCTAGAATTCTATTTAGCCAGGCATATTGCCATTCAAGTATACACACAGAATAAAGCCATTTCAGATATGAAAGATTTAAAAAACTGACTTTCCAGGCAGTCATTTTTTAGAAGCTTCTTTACTTTTCCAAAACAAGGGGGGAAAAATAGTATCTAGAAACAGGAGCTTCAACAGAAAAGAGAATTAAAGGAAATTCCCTGGATGACAGTGAAAGAATGTTCCAGGCTGACAGCTTTGCAGCAGACCTAGAGAACAACCTATACAGACTGGACCAGGAAGACAGAGCCTCCAGGGAGGAAGGGAGATGAAGAAGGAGGAAGAATAAAGGAAGAGAGGGAGGAAGGAAGGATAGGGGGGAAGAGAAAGAGGCAAAGGAGTGAGCCAAGGATGGAGGGGAAGAGAAACAGAGAGGGAAGGAAGAAGGAAGGAAGGAAGCAGGAGAGGGAAAGAGAGGGAGAGAGAGGGAGGCTGGCAAGGCTACCTGATATGTCTATTTATTTATTTATTAATCCTTTTTTATTAGTTTCAGGGTTTTTTTTCTGATAATGTTTAAATTTAATGAGAGGAAGATGCTTTGTTAGATTTTGTTGATGAATTATGATTGGTTCAAAAAAATCCAAGAGGGAGAGAATCAAGAGAGATAGAGAGACAGGGAGGGATATGAGAGAGAGAGAGAGAGAGAGAGAGAGAGAGAGAGAGAGAGAGAGAGAGAGAGAGAGAAAATCAATGAATGATGAATTCTCAGGAAAACAAAAGGTATACAAGAATGAAAATGTAATCATAGTTCACTATATGGCTTGACTGTGAATAAAAAACTCTTCTAGATTTTAAATTTAACTAAAATGGTGATAAAATTATATTAAAATGATGGGAAGAAAAATATGTGTGTTTGAGAGGAGATGAAAGTGCCTACAAAATAGCTTCAAAAATGCCAACACCATTATGAAAAAAGGAAGACAAGAACCTGTTCCAGACTGAAGAAGACCAAAGAGACACACTAGCTAAATGCAACACAAATGCAACATGTGTCCTCGGATTTAGAATCTGGACCAAAGTGGGAGAACCTCTGTGTTTTCTATCTAAAAGATGTTATTGGGACAACTGGAGAAATTTGAAAGGGTCTGTGGATTCGAATGTAGTATTGTGTAGTCAATGTTATTTTCCTGATTTGGATATTTATGCTGTGATTGTGCAGAAGAGTGTCCTTGTTTTTTAAAAAATACACAGGCCTACGTAGGCGTAACACAATATCATGTCTCCAATTTACTCAACTTACAGAGAGAGAGAGAGAGAGAGCAAAAGTTGTGAAAATGGCAATAATTGGGAAATCTAGGTTTTCTGTGGTTTTCTTGCAACTTTTTTCTTGCAACAATTTTGAAATTATTTCAAAATGAAAAGTATATTTACTGTTTTCAAAAGTCAATTCATTCCACAAGGCTTAAAATAAAACAAAAGACATTAAAAATAAAACACAGCACCCTGTGCCCCAGTATTGCCATTGCCAATTCATGGTCCTCAGAAACCCATTCTGAACTCCATTAGCTGTTTTGGTTCCTTGTTGCATCTCTTCTTTCAAATAACATATATATTGCTTTTTTTATTTTTTCACTTTTCAATTTTGATATTATCAAGATTTCCTACTAAGGATAATGAAGAGTACTTATTTATCTGGTCAACTAATTATATGAGTATGGACTCACAGATTTCTATTTTACTCAATGGGTTATAATCTATTAATATGTCATAATTTATTTTGATGTTTCAAGTGTCCAAGACCTGCCTAGGGGAGCCCCTTAAAACCGGCACCTGTGTGTTTTTGTTATATCCTTATTATTCCTTGAGCACTTTATTGTCTGGCATAAAAAGATATTTCAGGTTTATCTTGTATTTTCTCTGCCCCAGCCTTGAATCAGACATTTCTCCAAGGAGCTCTGTTCATTTTGGAGGAGATTGGTATTTAGAAACCAAGATATAAATGCTAGGAAATATATGTTATACCTAGGTACACACACACACATAAACATATATACACACATCTAGTTCTAGGTATATATATATATATATATATATATATATATATATATGATAAATAGAAATATTAATAGATATTAAACGCCATGAGTTCACACTGACACCTCCAATTATAATTTGAGACCACATGGCTTATTCCAGCCTTCCCCCTTCCCATATTTGTCATTCTTTTCTCTGGCAGAGAGAAGCTGGCTCCCGTTATCCTGAATATATGTATTTATTTGCTCAATCCCCCTGTATTTAATCGGTCTCCCCACCATGCCCGCTGCCTCCTCAGCCCTGAACACATTCTCAGTCCCAACCATGTCAGATCCTCCTCAGCCCCAAGCCCACTGGCCACCTCCTTGGACACAATGGTGGTCTCCTCAGGCAGCTTCAGTAGTTTGTTTTAAATAAAGGAAGGGGAAGGGCTACATGTTATTTTGTAAATAAACATTTTAAAATAGATCAAAAGGATAATATGTAGAAATGTTAAATACAAGTAATGCTTCACGCATATGCAAAGATAAAACTAACACTATCACAGTAAACTTGGAGTTATTTCTTCAGTAGCAGTAATGAGTTCTTCAACTCTGTACTTCCTCTTTTAGGTATCTTTTTTCCTCCAGAAGAATATATGTTAAAATCAAATATTTGTCTGTTGTTATAAAAAGACCAAAGTTAACTGACACGCTTAGAAATTAATTCTGCAGCAAAGCCCATCTTAGCTTAGCAACAGAATTGGCCAGTCCTGAGTGAAAAATATCATTAAAAGGAGGCCAAAAACTGGTTCTAATCCTATCTCTGCCACTGATTTTGTAGGTAACCTTGAACAATTAATTCAGCCTTTGTAGGTTAAACTAAGGAGCTGGACTTGAAAATCTTCAAAATCTCTCTCACAAGGCTAAAATAATATAATTTGCAAATGCATTAACACAGGAAAATGTAGCAAAACTTTGATATTTTAAGTAAAGTTATTTTTTTTTCCTTTTGGTACTGTGAATGAATAAAAGTTTGAAATCATTATATGGCCTTGCTTTTCCCTCGAAGCAATTCAACCTAAAAGTTTCTGAAGCATCAGTAATATCCAGAGCACTGTTCTCAAGGCTCTTCCCACACCAAAAGTTAATTATGTGAACTATAATTCAGCATTTGGGTAATGCTTCAATGCAATAATATAAGAGATAATATGGTAGGACACACTAATTGAAGAGACAGCAACGATGGTTGTTTTGATTAAGAAGGTTCAGGTTGTTGTATTACAAAATGATTTGTGAAAGAAAAAAACATTTAGGCATGATTTAGACCAAAAGTTAAGAACAAGTTACAGATGGGTTGTCAGACACAAAAACATAGAGAAAATATCTTGCAACAACAGTTGAGTGAAATAAATTATGGTATATTCCTATAATAGGATACAACCATAGAATACAATAAAAGGATTAAAAGTAATATTT